TCTGAATTAAAATAAGTTAGTAAATTGAAGATAATTTTAGGTTTACAGGATGTCTAATTGGGCGAAAAAATTCGGACTCGGAAAAGGGAAAGGACCCCTGATTCGTCCACCTGCAGATCCGGTGGTGGAGACTACTGCGGAACGGGAGGGAAGGACACATAATAGAAATGTGACTAGTTCTAAACGTCGTGGGGAACGCACTGGTGCTTTTGTACCCCCACGTACGATGATTCAGGAGGAGACAGAGACAGAGGCCGAGCAGGAGATGGATGCACCCATGGATGCATATATGCAGCCGCAGGAGTACGAGTACGATCCACAACTACGCTTTCAGCAGAAGTATCAGTTTCCGGTGCCGGATTTTCCATCCGATGACGATTACGAGGATGTTCCGACTCCGACTCCGCCTCCTGTCCCGATGGGTGGTACTTTCGGTGGTTCTAATCCTGCCTCGAGGTCCCGCACCGCTCCGAGAAAAAAACTTCCTTCTCGACCTTGGATGTTGACCGGTGAGACACCCGGTGGACCTAAATACGCTCACTTGATTCCAAGTTTTGGAGCACATATTGCCTACGACATTTGGGAGGGAAAGGTAATACTTAATAATATTAATAAATTTTGTTTATAATATTTACACTTGTTTGTGGTATACTTATATATGAATATATCTTGAACAGGGACGACATATGGTTAAATTACGGTCGCACGCGAAGTGTACTTGGCCGGGCCCCGACGACGATGATTGTGTCTCACTACTTGAGAGTACCGGCTTGTATCACTTGCGTGATTGTTCGCTGCCTCAGCACAATAACCCATTAATAGAGGCTTTTATTGAGAGGTGGCAGCCGGACACCAACAGTTTTCACATGCCATTCGGTGAGATGACAATTACCCTGCACGACGTGCATTTCATCATGGGTTTGCGAGTTAGTGGAACTCGCCCTAACGTCTGGATGGATAAGGCCGACGCGATCCAGCTTGGTGCGAGAGCTTTCGGAGTCGACCCCGCACTTATGGAGCATTGGTGGTATGGTGGCGGACCCCGGTTAGATGATTTGGAGGTGAAATATGGCGACAATTCTACCTTTCCTTCCGCGTATCGAGTACGAGCATACTTGCTCGGAAAGTTGTTGTTCGTGGATAAGAGTGGATCGAAGGTCAGAGCAGATTTTTTCCCACTGTTAGAGGAAATCAATCTGATTCGCGAGTATTCTTGGGGTTCGGCTACATTGGCCTATCTGTACCGACAGTTGGGCATGGCTACGCGAGCTGAGGCGGCGCAGATTGCTGGATGTCTGACACTATTAGAGGTATTATTATTATTATTATTGTTGTTGTTGTTGTTGTTGTTGTTGTTGTTGTTGTTGTTGTTGTTGA